AACTTGATGAAGGGCTGTTGCCCGAAACGTCGTTTTCTTGGTTTATTAATGAAGTTATTTTAATTTGGCGAGTTTTTACCACTACTTTATATCATATTTTGCATTTTATTATTTATTCGTCTACGCAATTATTTTATTTTTTGAACTACTATTCATCATAGTCAAAAAGATTTCGCAACCTATCATCCCGTACATATTACAACAATTCGTATCTCATCATAGTAGTCAATACGATACGTATCTAGATACAGAAGCTTTACCAACGATTTGTTGCAAAGTTTGACAGTCTTATCTTATTTAAGTACTTTACAGTTTGATCAACTGAGTGGCAGCTGGCAAGAGAAGTAAAATAAAAAAACTTAATATCTGTCTATCTATATTTTTATAGTTAATTTATGTTACTTTGCATGTAATGTTTTTAATTAAAAAAATGAAGACAACATATAGTACTCAATACTCATCTTCCTTTATTAAATCATTAATTTTTAGCAAAAAATACTTTATTATAAATTCTGATTTTTTTCTGTACAGAAGACTTATAATGTTTACTGAAAGCTTGCCAAATTTCGTGAAGGTACATAAATCGTATCGTATCCAACGATGTATCGATACAATCTTATCAAGGTTTCAAGATACGACACTCGTGTCGTATCGCAGTATCGCCACACCTTTAAACAATTCATAAGGTCATTTATAGCCTAAAATACAAAATAACCTGGGTTATCACAATATTAAACAGACCGCGTATGAACAAACCTTACACATCACCTAGAGTTTGATATCATAAGTGTATTTATAAGGTATTTAGGTACAACACGCGTATGATACCTTAATCTAGTGAAAAGTGACGTTTGCCAATGAACTGTTTGTGGACTATATAACGCAACTAAACTTATTGAAGTGGTGAACAGTACTAAATGCTATAAGTATAACATTCATGGACATGGCCCTGAAGTGGGAAGTAGAATCAGTGTTTATAACTTAGTGGTTGTGCCCTGATTTCGTGAATGCTCATATAGCATTTGTTAATGAAAATAGAAACCGAGAGGGGAAGAAGAGGAATATATAGCACCTGACTCTGTAAGGTCGCGAACAATAACACCACCAAACACTGACCCAGACAGATGATTTCAGCTAGCCAACAGCACTCTTGGGTTACTATAATAAAATGTTGGGATTTGACCGTCATTCTCATTTTAAATTAGCTTGGTTAACGTGGTGAAGTGCTGAGGTCACCTGAGATGAACCTCATGATGAATTAAATAATATGTATCTATTTACATTTTAATGGTTTTAGCATTCATTTGGATTCTCAATTTTCAG